ACTTCAATGTCTGACTTATATTTCCTAAGAAAGACTTTAGTTGGGTAACATTTGTGAATCAACTTTCATTTAGATTCATTCACACTTGTGCGGCTCATTTTGACTCGGTTCATTTAGATTCATAGATTCAGTCATACTCGTTCGATTCATGTACATCCAGTCCAGTGTTGCCAACTTAGCAATTTTGTTGCAAAATTTAACAACTTTTCAGACTACCCTAGCTACCTTTTCTTGCAAAAGCACCTAGCAACAAATTTAGCTATTTTAAAATTTGATTTGGCTACTTTTAGCAACTTTTGATAAGTGACTCGAACAATAAAAAGGCACACATTTTCCATCAAAATTTCACAAAAAGAGGAAACCAAAGCTGCCTAGCCGTACACACATCACATGAATTAAGTTATTGCTATTTGCAATTGTTCAATTTGATAATAATAATAATAATTGTTAATTTATGATACACCTTGTTGTACCTGTGATTGTTGAACAGTTAGTACACTGTAAGAAAAATATCTAGAAAAATGGAAAAGGTAGGCTACTAGTAATTTTCCAGGACATTATCCGTTATGCATTGTAACCCTTTAACCCGAAACACAAAATACAATGCGTAATTTAAAATGCACGTGAAAACCTTTTAGAGTGTAGCATACTGACTAATACTTGCTTAAAACTATAATTGTTCAGAATGTGTAGTTTTACTAGTTTACTAGCTAATAAAAAAACTTGTAATCGTTCAAAAATGTGTAAGTGTAGAATAATTCAATGTTAAAATATGTAAAAATATTTCTATTTTACCATTATATTATGCATTATGCATTCATATTATTTTACGAACAAATCTAAATGAACATATAAAAATATATTTTGTTGTAATTTGTATATTTGGCACTGAGATTTGATGTAGTGACACAATTTTGCGACGTGATTACATAACAACGTCATCGCACAATGACATCACAACATCATTTAGCAACTTTTAGCAACAAATCGACCTTCCTTTAGCAACTTCCCCTGAAAATTAGTTGGCAACAGTGATCCAGTCATTCTTGTTCATTTCGTTCAGATTCATTCATATACACTACAAGTCATCAAGTCGTCGTCTAGTCATTATTCATATAAACTACTAGTCAGTTTTCTTAAAAACCCATTGGGGCTTATACTAAAATTCTTGAACTCAGCTTTCTAGAACAATATAAATTGTACTAGAAGTTTAAAAATGAATAAATAAACATTTATTGTAAAATAAAGGTGTCTCCAAACTGGAGCAGTTCCTTGCGATGCATTCACATAATTGACCGGCTCTTCTCTTCACAGATGCATGAAGCTGGCTTTAGTTCATGACTTGGCTGAGTGTATTGTGGGAGATATTGCTCCAGCAGACAATGTTAGCAAAGCAGAGAAACACAGAAGGGAAATGGTATGATGGTTTTAAGCCAATTTTTACAAATGAAATATTTACTTTGTGTACACATTAAACATTGAGAATCTTTCTCTTTAGGAAGCAATGGTGCACATCACAGGCCTGTTAGATGATGGCTTACGGAAAGAGATTTACAGCTTGTGGGAGGTGAGTTGATCAAAACTAAACAACTGGACCAAGTTTTGTGTTCCTTTTTTTGGTTCGGAATGACTGGACTACGTCTCTCACAGGAGTATGAGACTCAGTCTAGTCCAGAAGCCAAACTGGTGAAGGAGCTGGACCAGCTGGAGATGATAATACAAGCTCATGAGTATGAGGAGTTAGAGGGGAAACCTGGAAGACTGCAGGAGTTCTTCACCTCCACTGAAGGTTTGACAAACCTACACATATCTAACAAGCTCAAGATCTGATTAGGGATGTAACGATTACCGGTTTGACGATAAATCGTGATAAAATTCCCCACGGTTAGTATTACCGTTTCATCTTTTAATTATCATTAAAACCGTATTAGATTACCGTGATTTGAACAACTCACGATAAATAAATACTGTCCAGCATTAAGCACAGTTTTAAGTAACAGTCTCACGTGCGCACAGCAAGCAGAGTAGTTATGTTTTGAGTGAAAACAGGGCGGAAAAGCTGGGAGGTATTAAAAGAGTGCTAAGGGAATTATACAGATGAATATATGAATGAATTAATTATATGAATGTACCTCTGAAGGTTCTGACTGTCTTCAGAACACCAGAACAGATTTAGAGAAATTTAAGATTACATCACTTGTTCACCAATAGATCCCATGCAGTGAATGGGTGCCGTCAGAATGAGTCCAAACAGCTGATAAAAACATCACAATAATCCACAAGTAATCCCCACAATTCCAGTCCAATCTATTCATAGTATTGCTTTCTCCAGGGAAAAAGTCATCTCGTCTGAATAAGGAGAGAAATATGCACAGAGAAAAATCACTGTTACCAAGGCAAAGTAAATTGTATCAAAAGTGCTCAACAGTGGCCGTTTACTCCCATAAAGAATTGTGAATGAAATAATTGGAGTCTGTCTCACCTTACTCTACACCTACTTAAAGGAATAGTTCACCCAAACATCAACATTTGCAGGAAATTTACCCCCAGGCCATCCACGAGGTAAATGAGTTGGATTCTT